ACTTGATTATCTGCTGTGCTCCATTTAAGGCCAGCCCTGATAGTATCAATAACAAAGAATGGGAGTGATGTAGGCCCAGAAATGTCAGGCTCAATGGTGGCATGAAGAGGGAAAAACAGCCTTTGATATCACTCCTCTGCAGTAAGAGCTGAGTCATAATATTTTGATAGGGAAATGTGGTTTCCACTTGCAAGAAAGCATTTGTCTTCCTGTACCTGGTCTGTCCACTGTCCTCTCAATTAATAACTTGGGGCTGACATGAGGTGAAGTGCAAAGATTAACATCGTCTTTTATCCTGAGAGTCTGCAAATGGGGCCAGGTCCACACGAGACACTGGCTTAGCATTAACAATTTAGTGACATCAATTGTTGTTTGTCCTTTGTTCTCAAAGAGGACCATGACATCAGGGAGGTGATGCCATGACATGCAAGTGAATTGGATTTAAATGAGGGAGGGCTGTGCAAAGTCACCAGCCTCACTTTCTCCTTCAGTGACACCAATTATCATACTGTCAATCAAGAAGCATTAATTAAGCACCTATTATGTGCCAAGCACTGTGCTGGGTGCTAGAAATGCAAAGAAAAAAAAAAGAATATATAGTCTCTGTTCTCAAGTGGCTTATACAGGGGGTTCCAAAAGTTTTGGTGCACCCTTTATTCTATTTTAGGAAGACTCAAAAGAGACACTTTCTGCAAAAATCCTTTCCCAGTTCCTCTTAGTGATAGTGCCTTCCCTCAGAGATTATGTCCAAATTATCTTGTATAGACAGTGATGAGCTGGTAAATGTTTAACAACTAGCTGGGGGTGGGTGGGCAGGGGCCTAGGAAGCATGAGTCACACACTTTAAGTTTAACCTGCATCATTAACATTTTCTCCCTGACTTTCTTAAATCTAGATAATCAACAAAATAATAAAACTAGCCCAGATTTGGAGCATTTGCTGATTTCGAAGGTGTGTCACAATGCAAATTTAACAATCTTTTTTCTTTCTTGTAGTTTGTCCCTTTTGTTCTGTTCCTTTTTTCACAACATGACTATTATAGACATGTGCTTAACATGATTGTACACGTATAACCTACATATGATATAACCTACATAAGACTGCTTGCTGTCTTGGGGAGAGGGGAGGGAAGGGATGGAGAGAGAAAAATTTGGAACTCAAAATCTTACAAAAATGAATGTCAAAAACTGTCTTTACATATAATTGGGAAAATACTATTAAAAATTAAAAAAAGAGAAAATTTAGCAATTGGCCCTCAGTTTGAGCTGGCTCCAACACATCCCTGCATATAGATTTTGTTTGTACACATAGTTGCTTACATGTTGTGTCCCCTAACAGTCTGTGACCCCCTTGAGAGCAGGGATTATTTTTTGCTTTTCTTTGTATCTCCAGCTAAAGTCCTGTGGAAGAGGGATAAGACATAATGTGCCTGGCCCCAGAAGGCAGAATTAGGAACAATGGGTAGAAATTGTAAAGAAACAAATTTAGGTTTAATGTCTGGGAAATGTCCTTACAATTTGCTGTTCAGTCGTGTCTGACTCTTAATGACCCCAGTCAGGATTCTCCTGGTAAAGACACTGGAGTGGTTTGCCATTTCCTGCTCCAGCTCATTTTATTGATGAGGAAACTGAGGCAAACAAGTTAAGTGACTTGCCCACGGTCACACAGGTAGTAAGTGTCTAAGGCTAGATTTGAACTCAGGTCTTCCTGACTTAAGGCCCCGGGGTGGTAGTGGTAAAGGGGTAGGTGGGATGTCCTTGAGTAGAGGCTAGATGACCATTTCTTGAGTATATTGTATAGAAGATTGTTATTCAGATTGGACTCAATGGCCTTTGAGACTCCAACTTTGCCATTTTGTGATGCAATTGATTCATCAATTCATTTGAAGCTGTTGACCTAGAACACCGGCAAGATGAGTCATGACATGTGGGAGCCAGGGGGGCCTTTCCAAGTCATCTAGTCCAACCTGTTTATGTCATAGATGAGAAGCTGAAGTCAGGAGAGGGGAAATTACTAGAGTTACCAAAATCAAGACTAAAATAAAGACTGCAACTGACACATCAGTAAGTATGTGCCCCCTTTTCCCCGACTATGTGATTGCTACCAAGACACCCCTCTGTCTCCCTCCCCTTCCAAGTCCCATTCAGTTTGGTGAATTGTTTAGGTGATGACAGAACCCAAATATTAAGAAATATTAGGATTGGCCATAGAACCTTGCTGGCAACCGATTTCCATGATTAAAATATTGGCCACGCTGTCCAAGTTGGCTTGCAACCCTAAAAATGACTTGCCCAAGGTTACGCAGCTAGTTAATGGGAAAACCAAGACTAGATCCAAGCCTCATGACTCCTATGTACTCATTTCTATTTTGCCATACTCCCTCTTCCAATCAGAGACAGAACACTCCAGTGACAGCAGGGGCTGGGTTGTTTTGGGCTCTCTGTGGATCTGTACTGTGCAGACACTGAATATACACTAACCACAGAGAGAAAGCGGGCTACGCCAGGAGATCAGGCTGTACAGCTTCCCTTGGTCTTTGATTTTCCTCTCCCCTCTTGGTTGTTAACAATTTTCTAAGTTATTCCTTTCAATGAACCATTTTCAGGGGCCTCCCCCATAGCTTGAAAATGAAAACATTTGGAGAGGAGACTGTGGTGCTGGTTTTACCAGTTCAGAAGCAGTTTTAATGGAGATGGAAACATCTATCAACTCAACACAAATACCCCCCAAAATACAAACCAAAATATCTTCTTCGGCTGCATAGCAAATATGATGTAAGAATTTAACACCATGATTTTATCACTAGCGTAAATAGAACTCACCATAAATAAATGTAAATTCATTGTACAAAAAAATCCCAAAGACTCTTAATACAAATATGGTACATTGACAATTTCTGCAAACAGATTTTTTTTTTAACTCTTAAAAACCAAGTTTTTTTTTTTCTGGTTTTTGGACACACATCAATTAAGCTGGGCCAATAATACTGGGGCGTGGGTTGGGGAGGAGGAAGCAGGGAAGGAGGTGACAGAGATGTTGGACTTTTATGTTTAGTGTCCATAAAGAAGTGCTGCTAGAAAATAGAATGAAAAAAGAAAATACCACAAATTCACAAATTTCCAAACTTCAGATATGACTTTTTCTGCTGCAGGAGTTAAGAATGTTAACTTTGAGAAGGAATTTGAAGTGGGGGATTTTTGAAGTGGTGTCATCTTTCTACATCACCTTGGACAGGCCTATGAAGATTAACCATTCCCAGGTAAATCCATACCTTATAAAGTAAATCAACCTCAAACCTGAGAAAGGGTTATCTGTTTCCCTGGTGGGGACGGGTATTAGATCAGTAATCTGATTAGCCTACTCTCAGACAACTACAGCCATGTGGGGTGGGTTGAACTCTTACTGCTCAACATTGGCTCCTCCTAGAGTCTAAAGTCCAAATTTTAGAATTGACTGATATTTGCGATGGATATCTTTTGGCAATAGCCTGGTGTCTGCTAGTGTTAATAGAGAGCTTCAATTCATCTCACTGGGATTATAAGAGGACCTCGGTGTCTTCTTTGAGATGCCAGACTACATTTTGATTGAAAACCATTGTCCAAGATGGTGGAATGGCAAAGTGTCCTGAGCCCTTCTAATGGCCATAGAGGCAGGGCTCACACAGAGAATGTGGCTTTGCTAGAGGGCCACACTCAGCCCTAGGGTTGGCATAAGACTGCTGGACTAGCACCCCACCTCGACTGGGAACCCTGGATTGACCGTGGCAAATCAAGTATTAAGGTTGAACTCGTCAGCTCAATAGCAGCTTGAGAGATCCTGATAGGTTAGTATTCTTCTCAGGAAGAATCTGACCAGCCAAGCAGTACTCTTTGACTTAACAGACCTAGGATTTGTGGCTCTTCTGACAACTTCATTAGCAACAAGTAGTGAGGATCTGGGCTGCTGAAGCATCTGATTGCTAATGAATCTGACCCTTCCATCAACTTAGGATGCACCTCTGGCTAGATGTGGAAAAGGAAGGAACGGTTCTCTCCATGAGAGAATTCCAAGCTTTTACCTGGTGATAATCAGCCCCTTGCATAACTCATAGCATCGTAGATCTGGAAGGGAGCTCAGTCCAATTCCCTCATGTGATATATGAGAAAACAGAAGCCCACAGAGGTTAAATGACTTGCCCATGGTCACATAGGTAGTCAGTGGCAGGGCCAGGATTTGAACCTGGGTCCTCCAACTCCAAATCCAGCGTTATTTCTATTGTACCATGCTGCCTCTTATCTTCCTTTCCTGTCCACAGCTCTCTTCCGATAGTTTAGGGATGGTACCCTGGCATGCACAGAAGGTTCATAGGGCCCAGGTGTAGAGTAATGCCTCTTAGGAATTCTCTCATAAGAGACTCCTGTTCTCCCCTTTCCTTGCTTAGGGCATGAATGCATTCAATTAGCTTCAAGTCTCTCTTCTTCCTGCCTTTCCTCGCAGCAAAAATGGCCCAGCTGATTGACATAAACCCCCTCTCAGAGTTTCCCCTTTGAATTCCATCACTTGTGGGGCACAGACTGCCCAAAGAGGCACCTTAAATGCTGTCAGCTGCCCTGGCCAAAGCACCCTGTGAAAACAGAGAAAAAGAGCCCCCACCCTGGGACATTTACCTCAATGCATGTCTGACATTTCCATTAGAAGAGGGATTCCTATATCCTATGTGAAAGTCATTAGTCATCCTATAGGCAGGTGGAATTTCTGAACAGTTTAAGTAGGGAGCTGGGAGTAGGTGGAAGCATTTGTGAGAGAGATTCCATGCCCCTAAACTTAAGTTAACAAGTGCTCATTTACCACTCCCCTCTCTACCCCACTTCCCCTTCCCTCAACAGACTATATCTGACCCTAAGTGAAATGATTCCTCCCTGATATTTACTGAGATTTCATGAGATCATAGACTGAGAGCTAGAAAGGACCTCAGGAGGCCAGCTAGTCTGATCTCATTTTGCACATGAAGAAACTAATGACCCAAAGATTAAATGATTTACTGAAGGTCACATATGTAGTAAGTAAGGATCAGAAGTTGGATTTGAACTCAGGACATCTGACTATGGAGTCATTGCTCTTTTGACTGTACCATGCTTCCTCCTTTGGTCAGAGCTGTCCTTTGTACCTGGCCCCCAGGAAGATACAGGAATGGACTGCTGTTGAGTATCTGCAGCTCAGTTTCCTATCTTAGCAACAAACCATGGAGAAGACCAGACAGGCCCCTAGGCTAAAAGGGCTTTTTTTTAAATTTAGGGATGTGAAGGTCACATATGCTTCAGGAGTACTATGGATCCCTTGATGTTCTTCCTAACCCTGATATTATTCCATGTGCTGTAGGCATGAACGAAATTATAAATTCCCTCCTGGAGGGCAGTAGTTGGGTGGGGTGGGGAGGATTACTAATTTTCTTTTAGAGTCAGAAAAAAGCAAGAGCAAGCACCATCTCCAGCAGGAAACTACCGCCAAGAAACCTCATGTACTGCATGTGGGTGGGCATTGCCCAATAGCCCTTGGAGGACATCTGTTTAGTCCTTGAGTGCTCTTGGGGCTGAGGTCCCTGGAGTCCAATGTGGTTCAGAGGAGCAGGAGGAGACAGGTACTGAAGAGGAGAATGGGCTAGGTGAGGATGTGGGATATGCTGAAGAGCTGGGGCCTGATCAAGACCTGTGCCTCAAGGCAGGCAGGCAGGAGCCACCTGCCCTTGGTTCCAAAGCTCTGCCAGGTATTGCTTCTCCAGAGAACCATGGGCACTGGAAGCTTCCTCCCCACTTGAAGCCGGCAGATATCAGCACGAGGTCATAGATGGCTATGTTTGCAGAGGTGGGCACAAGATGGAAGGCCTTAAGGAACAGCTTAGGGCATATAGAGCCATAGTCGTGCGATGGGGAGAGCTGGAGGCTGCAGGGATGCTGAAGTGTCGAACAATGAATTCTTAGTATCAACACAGAAGAAAATAAGGAAGAAAAAGCACACACTGTTGTTTTTGTGTGTCTTTTTTTTTTCTTTTTTAAGCTATGGGAGAAACCAACCACGGAGATGTCATGGAAGAGCATGCACAGGCCCAGCTCTTGGCTTGGGTCGAGGTGTGCTTGGGGTATCTGGTTTGGTTTGATGTCCAGCCCACAGGTCGCCAGTTTCCTGAGCCAGCCCTGACACAGTCTGGAGGTGGTCCCTTCCCTCCACCTCCTGAGAGGCTCTTATTAGAGAACCTCTACACTTAGCAAGTGGTAGCCAAGGACTGGTGGATGGGCGGCTGGAAGCAGCGTACGTGCTCCACAGTGGTACTGTCCGTCTCTACTGACTTCATGTATTTGTTCAAGATAGCAAAGACCTCGTTGTTTAGGATCTGATATTTGCGGATTCTGTCGGCCATCTTCTTCAGCGGCTGTAGCAAAGATGGTGAGTGGGGGTAGGGAACACAAGGAAGGATGGAGAAAGAGAACAGAGAGGTGAGGGAAGGCACCAGAGACACAGAAAAGTCACTTGCCAAGGGTCACACAGCTAGAAAGCATTCAGGTTACTACTCCTATAGCCTAATCTTGGTAAAACCCAACCAGCTATTCTCAGCAACACAATGATCCAAGACAGTCCCAAAGGACTTTCTGCCTCCAGAGAAGGAATTGATATTGTTTGAATATAGACTGAAGCATGCTATTTTTCACTTTTTTTTTTATTTGGGTCTTCTTGTACAAAATGACTAATATGGAAATGTTTTACATGATTTCACGTGTATAATCATGATCTGGTTGCTTACCCTCTCAAGGAGGGAAGTAGGAAGGGAGGGAGGGAGAGATAGGATTTGGAACTCAAAACTTTAAAAAAAAACTTTAAAAAATTGTTTTAACATGTAATTGGGGGAAATTATATATATATGTATGTATCTTTGTGTACATATATACATACACACACACACATATAAAATACAAATACCTCAAAAAAATAGACAGGAGATGGGGTCGGGGTGGGGCTGTACTCCCTCCTGGCCCTGTCAGATAACCTGACTCACCCCCTTGTCTTAGGAGCTCCAGGCTCATAGCTTCACACTAACAACTCCTCACCCAGCTCAGTGTCTGTATGTCTCCCTGCACTTGTTGGAAAAATCCAATTCCTTTTATTTTATTTTGTCTCATTTTAATTTACTTTTTTGCCTTTTCTGCTCTCTTACACTTTGTCTCTACATTCTCCCTTAAGGCCCCCCTCCCCTGCATACCTACCCACCCTGTTATACTTACCACATTTTTTATGATCTCATCTTTCCCATCCTGCCTCTGTACCTTCAGCAGATGGTAACAGAAGTCAAATAAATCAAACCGTCGCTGCTGTCCGAGGAGGACGATGACTGAGCAGCCGGCCCAGTTCAAGCCATCTCCAAAGCACTGCCTGGGAGGGAAGAAAGCAGGGTCCTGGAATGAGGGGGAAGCTTGGGAAACAAGAGTCTCCTAAGTCCCTGTGCCAGGACCATGGCTGGTAGCCTGGTCCCAGATATAGAAGGGTCTCAACTATTCTGGATCACACGTTATCTTCATATTCCCAACCTATATGTGGGTATGAATGAGCACATATTATCCATGGGATTTGGGAGTGAGATGCATGATATAACGGACAGTGCATTGGATTTGAGTCAGAAAGGACTGAGTTCAAATCCCACCTCAGGCACTTTCTAGCTGTGTGACTTTCTAGCTGTGGCAAGTCACTTGACCTTTGTGTCTTGGTTTCCTCATCTGTAAAATGAGGGAGTTGGACTCAAAGACTTCTAAAGTGCTTTCTAGTTCTATATCAATGACCCTATGAGATAATAGGCATCAGATTATTATTATTACTTAATTATTATTAATAATAATAATTTTAATGATAGCTAACATTTATATAGCTCTTACAATGTGGCAGACACTGTGCTAAGTGCTTTACAACTAATATCTCATTTGAGCCTCACAACAACCCTGGGAGGGAGGTGCTGTTATTACCCCCATTTTGCAGTTGAGGCAACTGAGGCAAAGAGAGGTTAAGTGACTTGCTCAGGGTCACACAGCTAGTAAGTGTTTGATGTGGGATTTGAACTCAGGTCTTTCTGACTGCAGGCTCAATTGAGAAATCTGGAAATCCTACTCAGAAACCCAGAATAGCTCCTTATTACCTTTCAGATCAAATCCAGACTTCTGATCCTGACTTTCAAATCTGGCTCTACACAAGTTAATCCACCTTACCTATAAATGCTAGTTGTGACATACCTGTCACTATATAAACCTTTTACTCCAGTCAGGCTACTCTCCTCTCTTTCCCCCTGCTTCTTCCAACCTCCATACCTTAGCTCTCCCTATTTCTTTTTTGCTTTTTTGGTGAGGTAATCGGGGTTAAGTGATTTGCCCAGGGTCATACAGCTAGTAAGTGTCAAGTGTCTGAGGCCAGATTAGAACTCAGGTCCTCCTGATTCCAAGGCCACAGCTCTATCCACTGAGCTACCTAGCTGCCTCCCTTCCCTATTTCTTTCTTCTGGAATGCCTTCCCTCCTCCTCTCTTCTTGTTCAAATCCTATTCATCCTTTGAGGCTTAGTTCAAGTTTTTTCTCCCCTAAGTAGCCTCTTCTTATGACACCACCAGACCATGGATTTTCCCCTCTCTGATTTTTTTTTTGTATTTGCTGTTTATGTTGAAGAATGAATACCTTTATGATACAACATCTTATTTCTCTTATGGTGTGCCATCTGGGCTTGCTTCAGTATATCTATCTATCTATCTTTATTTTTATATATTTATATATATTATATATATATTTATATATATTTATATTTATATATATCTTTATTTTTTCCAATAGACTATAACTTCCTTGATGGCAGGGACTCTTTATTTTTCCTTGTCTTTTATTGTCCCCCCCCCAGTGATATCTAAGCATGAATCACTGGATACCTAGCAGGGAACCTCTGGAGGTGGGTGGCTTCTGCCCCACGCCTCCCCCGTCACTCACTCAGCTGTAAATTCGTTGGTCCCCACTGGGATACAGTACACGAACTGCATGGCACTCCAGAGACGGTGGAACTCCACACACTCATCCACATGCATGACCCCATTGGTAGGGGGTGGACCTCTCCATATGGGATCCTGGAGGTAGCTCCGGATACGTGTCAGGATGACCTCAAACATGGACAGCCCACAACACAGCCGCTCCTTGGTCAGCAGATCTCCCTCCCGGGCAATTGCAATTTGCTGGGGAGGAAAGTGTCTGTGAAAGCTTTTGGGTAATTCTCTCTTTCTCCTCCTATCCTCCTTTGAGATTTTCTCCTCTTCCTCCCTTCCCCTTAGTTCCTAAACCAGCAGAACCTGGAGTCTATTCACAATGACTGAGGGCTTGGTGGGGGGGCAGGATGCCTATGGATCCTTCAGTGCTCCATGATTTCATTCAACATTTCATGCTTTTATTGGGATGGACATTCCCTCCACTTCTACAGACTGGGACCTCTCTGTGTCAGACTCCTATCAGAGGCTTCGTGAGTTGCATCACCCAGTAGGCCAACTTTCTAGTGACCTTAGAAGGTTCTTTAGAGGACAGTTATATAATCTGTCACCAGATGGTACCTGAAGTCCCCTACACCCTTTCCCCAATTTATTTTGTATCTGTGTCAATTTTTTTATGTTGCTCCCCCCACCAGAACCTCAGCTCCCTAAAGGCAGGGACTACTTGATTTGTGTCTTCATATACTGGTTTCTTGGCACATAGTAGGTACTTTGATAAATGCTAGTTGATCGACGCCTTTCCAGTTTGGTAGGATTTGCCAGAGGTCATGCTCTGCTGCCATAGCCCCAAGATTCTAGGGTCACTTCTATACCATGAGGAGGCATCAGCGGAGGACGCTGGTGCAGTAGAGTACTAACCTTACAAAAATCAGCACAATATTTGAGGGTAGCGCCCACCCCTGGCTATCTTGCTGACTGTCCTGCTACTCTTCAGCTGAAACAGTACCTTTGGATTGGACTACCAGAAAAAATACCCCCCAGTCCCTGGAGGAGTTAATTCATTCAGGTTTGGAATGCCTGTCCTGGGTTTAGCTGTTGTGAATGGTGAGTGAGAGCAAACTCAACTAGCCTGCCATATTTAGCCAGTCCCAGCCCATCAGATCATCCTCACATCCTATCCAGTCATCTATCTTGGTCATCTAGCTATCATCCCTTCACCCCTCCTGCTTTATTCCTTCTGTTCTGGGTTTGGTAATTAAAGAGCACTACCTCAGTGCCATTGACATGAAATGGGTGTTTCAACTGACTGCCCTGTGGATCAGTTCAACATTCTTTCTGTCCTCAATCATTAAACAGAACCTAAAATTTAGGGACCAGGTCATAAAATGCCACTTCTTGAGACTGTCTAGATGAAAGCCTTCCCATAAATGCCTCATTCTACTGTGTCCTTATGACCCTAGACATTTAAAAGTAGTGTCCTTATAAAGTTAAAGATCCCAACCACCCCCGCTCCAGGAAATCATCAACCTCAAATGTAATCAATGAACAATAATTTGTAAAGTTGGGCTTATAACTCATTAGAAAAGCTTGTTGCAATGAAGCCAGGGAATGCTATGACAAATGCAAACAAAAAAGCAGTCTGCAAGAGTCAAGGAAAGGGAATGCTAGACATGAAGACGTTCTTGGTATTTCTCCAGCTCTGTCTTGGGGGGAAAGATGCCCTAATTCTAGGTGACCAGCTCTGTTTTTTTAGACAAAAATATTCCCAGAGTTGAAATTAATTACCCTCACTTGGTTCAACTATCCCTTATAGTAGCCAACACCCTTGGCTCTAATTCTGTGCCCCCCAAGTAACCTTTTGATCTCTGTCTCCTAAGTAGACTTATTCACTAGGAAGGAAAGCCTTGCACCAATGACTAGTCTCCTCAGGCCAGGCAGGTAGGGAAGGTATAGTATTGTTATCCTATGTTGGTGGGGGGAGGTGCCAGATACAGGGTTAGGGACTGGGGATTCAAGGGCGAATGGAAAAACAGTTCCTAACCTCAAGGAGTTTACATTCTATCGAGTGAGATACAGAATGGTTAAACAGAATAGCTGTGTTCACACAGCAAGTTAAAGACGAAGTGACTTCTAATCAAACACTTTTCCTACTACACATTACAGAAGAAACCTGACTTCTACAGGTCTCTGAGATGTATTCCAATTCTCAACAATAAAAGGTGGACCTCTGACCTTTGTTAAGCTAGGGATGGGGTGGGGAGAGGGGGCAGGGGCCTTTATACTTGACATATTGAGGGCCTCTTGCATACTCGGGGTCCAGCGTTTCTGGAAAATATGGCAACTCAAGAAGACAAGTTCAGTATATAAGCACAACTCCTTAGATGCTGTCTGAGATATTGCTGAGTCCTCTCATGAACTCTTACTGGCCTCCAAACTGTTTTGTTAGCTTTCCTGTAGTTGTTTGGATGACTAACTTCTCGACCAGTTCTTAAAGGGAGAAGGGTTTACAAAATCGCTAACTCCTTTCCAACTTGGACAGAACCTAAAGGGAATTTAACTGGGTAAATACTGAATGTTTGACTAGGGAATTTTAACAGGCCCAAGGACAATTTATTAAACAGAACCATGAAGCGGTTCATAATTTTCTAAATGCAAACAGATGCCAGGCATTAAGAACTGGAGACCAGATTCTTGTGGGAGAGTGCTAACACAGAAGACAAGTTTGCATACTGCTGGCTTAAGGGATCACTCCCTAAAAGGAAATCTTCTTGGATGTCTGATCCTACCCCCTGGGGAACTAGTCTGAAAATGTGCTCATTAACATGGTATCTGAATCGCTGTGCCAGGATGCTCTCGAAAGGCCCCTTCCAGCTCAAATAACGATAATAATAATAGACTCTCAGAGTGCTTCAGAAATTGCAACAGGCTTTACATAAACAGGGTGTCCCTAAAGTCTTAATGCAATTTAAAACCTTTAGCTTAATACAGTTTTAAGCTATTCAATGAAAACTACACTAAGACTTTGGGAACACCCTGTATATTAAACATGGCTCCAACCTATTTTTCCAACTTTATTTTCCAACTTTTCCAACATTGTTATTGCTCAGTCATTTTCAGTTATGCCTGACTCTCTGTGACCCTATTTGGGGTTTTCTTGGCAAAGACACTGGAGTGGTTTGCTATTTCCTTCTCCAGCTCATTTTACAAGTGAGGAAACTGAGGCAAATAGGGTTATGTGACTTGCCCAGGATCACACAGCTAGTAAGTGTCTGAAGCCAGATTTGAACTCAGGAAGATGAGTCTTACTTACTCCAGGCTTGGTGCCACCTAACTGCCCTTTATAATACGCTACTCCCTTTTATTCATGCTGCAGTCCAGGCAGGCTGGCCTCACATCCAGCACTCCACTTTTGTCTCCTCCATGTCCAGAATTCTCTCCTTCCTTGCCTTTCTGTCTCTTAGAACCTGTTTTCCTGCCTCCTATGTGAAGCCTTTTCTCATCTTCTTCTGCTCATTTAAACTGTTTTTATTTTGTGTAACTTCTGTGAGTACATGGTATCTTTCCTGATAGAGTGTAAGATGCCTGAGGTTAGTCACTATTGTATTTTTTTTATTCCCAATGTCTAGCAAAGTGCCTGGCATATAGTAGGTTCTTAATAAATGCTTAATAAATAAATAATTAATAAAAATTAATTAATTAATGCTTAATAAATGCTTGTTGAATTAAATTGAAGGGACCTTAGAACCTAGAAGATCAGAGCTGGAAGGAGCATAAGAAATCATCTAATCTAGCCCCTTTATTTTACAAGGAATGAAACAGAAGTCTAAAGAAGGGATGTGACTTGTTTAAGGTCACACATCAAGTGAGAGGCAGAAGAAGGACCTGGATTCAATCTTCCTGGCTTGGCCCAGCCCCAAAGCCCCTTCCATTCTACCAAAGGGCCCTTCTAAAAGGCTTTCATCCTCAGCTTATTCACCAGGAGGCTTTGGCTGATCAAAGGATCGTGTAATTTCCAAACTATCCTCTTTCTGTACCCTTCATTTGAACCCTCCCTGTGGGATGACAGAGAAGTAACAGAAGATGTCAAGAAGCCCATAAGTATCTGTAGTGGGATTTGCAAGGCGGTGTGGAGAGCTGGCCATGTCTACACTCTCTCCCCCGCACTGAAGAAAAGAGCTGGGTGATGGTATTAGATCTTCTGCCAAGGCCAGCAGTTAGACAAGCTATTTAGGGCAGTCGGATAGAAAGAAAAGAGAGTGTTCAGTAGCTGCCCTATATATGGCAGTGAGTGGAGAGAGCATATAGGGAGAAGCAGGGGCCCTGAAAGCTTGTGGATCTGGATGGGCAGCACAGATCCCATGGTGTGGCTCTGGGAATGTCCCAGGTGTTACACGTGCTTTCCTGGTTACATGCACCAGGGCCTACAGTTAGTGCTTTGTCATCTCAATCTCTGTATCTCCCCAGTGCCCTCGTGTGCCCATGATATCTTGGGTACTTAATAAGGATTTGTTTAATTGAATTGAATTGCCTCTCCCCTGGAGGTTGGAGTGTTTGTATGCCTGAAATTCTGTTTGGTATTCCATGTTTTCCTGAGTCCTGAAGCACACATGTCTACGTCAGAAGGACTGTCAGCTATGTACTGTGTAAGATCTGGGATGGAGGCCACATTCCTAAAAACAATCATAGGGCCCTCAGTTTAGAGTTCATCAAATCTAACCCTCCCATTTTATACATGAGGAAACTGAGGCATAGAGAGGTTAAATGAGTTGCTCAGGGTCATGTAACTAGTATCTGAGGTGAAATTTGAACTCCTGTTTTCCTGACTTCAAACTTAACACTCTAACCACTGTGCCTGCCTACCAGTAATCTCTCTGACCCATTTAAAAGCATGGTTGCGACATGGTAACAGGACCCTAGGCAGGGTTGTATAGTAGACAGAGCACTGAACTTGGCATTGAGAATGCCTGAGTTTGTATCTTACCTTATACACTTACTAGCTATGTGCCACTAAGCAAGTCACTTAACTTTTCTGAGCCTCAGTTTCTTCATCTATAAAATGGATATAATAATAGCACCCACCTCACAGAGTTGCTGTGAGGGTAAAATGAGATAATGTATGTAGTGCTTTGCAAAACTTAAAATGCTATGTAAACATCAGTTATTATTATTATTATTATTAGCATCGTTAAGAGGTTGGCAACTGAGACACACTCCCCTAAATATACTCTGTAGAGAAGCAGTCTTTAGGTATTCGTTTCTCTTTTCCCCCTGAACTGAAATTTCAGCTTCCTTTTCTTTTCCCCTTCTTTTTTTGCTGGTGGGACAACTCAATTAGGCAAAGCCTAAATTGAAGAGACAGAGAATATAAACTCCTGGTTAATCCACACACTTGGATTAACCCACCCCAAGTCATTTGGACAGGGCTAGCTTCTGAACTCAGGCAGCTTTTGCCGAGAAGTGGAGGAAGGCCGCGGATGCATGGACGTAACTATGGATAGGCCTATCTCAGTCTCCCGGGAAGACTCCAAACAGTGAGTAAGTGGACTGCTGGCCTGAATGCTTGGGGGTTCTATCCTTTTCAGTGCAGCAGCTGGTATCCTGACAGGTATTTGTCAGTTTATCTTCAGATCCAAGGAGGAATAAAAGGAGCCCAAACGTTCTCTGCAACGGCTCTCGTATCTATAGTCTCTTCCCATGTTCACTACTACCAACATAATTTAGGAATCTTTTCTCACCTACTCACCTAGACTATTACAACAGCCTCCACACTCATCTCTCAGCCTCCAGTCTCCTCCCAGAATCAGGGAATTTTATAACCAGGAGGAACTTCAGAGCCCACCTAGTCCAACCCATACTCAAAGGGAATCCCCTTAAGAACGCACCAGACAAGTGGTCATCTAGTTTCTTCCACTTGAAGACGTCCTATGAAGGGTAAACTACCACTTTTGAACAGCACCAATTGTTAGGAAGTTTTTCCTGAGGTCAAACTTAAATTTGCTCCTTTGCAACTACCACCATTGCTCCTAGTTCTTTGTGAGCTGAAGAGAACAGATTCAATCCATTTCCATCCAAATGCATGACCAAAGCTGTAATTACCCCCTCCACCTCAAACTTGCTTTTCTCCAGGCTAAATATTCCCTGTTATTTCAATTGATTCGCAAATGACAAGAATACTAGGTCCTTCATTATCTTGATTGTCACCCTCTGGAGGGTCCTATGTAAGACCTGTGGAAAAGCACTCTTTAAGACCTTCAGTTTCTTTATCTGTAAAATGGAGATAATATTCATACCACCTACTCAAGAGGATTGTTGTGAAGAATAACTTTAAAGCCCTACAGAAATGTAAGTTGTTAGAGGAATATGTCCTTGGTCCTCATTTTGCTGGCCTATGGTACCTTAAGGCAGTTCTTGAAGGACCCTGGATTTCCACATTTTCAGACATTCTAGGTCAGGCATTGCACAGATCTCTTATAACAGATCCAATCCACTGTGTTGCCAAATTAATCTTCCTAGTGGACAACTCAGACCACATCACTCCTCTTCTCAAGATACTTCTGTGGCCTTCATAACTCACCAAATGATATACAAACTCCTTAGCCTAGTATTTAAGGCTTCTTCCAATCTGGTTTGAATTTACCTTTTCAGGCTTAGTTCAAATGACTCTCCTTCCTGTATTTACATTCCAGTACTACTGCAGGAGGAGTGAGACATAAAATGGATGGCTCAGTTCAAGGGCAGTCTCCTAAAGGACCATCACTGGGCCCCTTTCTCCTCCTGTTTTAACGTGAAGATCAAAGCACCTAAGGCCTGACCACCTCCCCTTCTAGGGCCTGAGACCTGGTGGTTTCCTTTGCCCTGAATCCCATTTTCCTTGCAGTTATTCCCTCACACCCTGGCACCTCGGTGTCTCAAGTTAGGCCTCATGCCTTCCCTGGTGTGAATTAAAATGGGCCATTATGAATGACCTGTGCCTTTGTATATTACTAATCTCTCTTATTTTTTGTGAAATCTCCTTAGATCCTAAGGCTGCTGGAATGCCTGGGGACCCCTCCAGAGATGTTGAGGGAGGCTTTCCCGCCATTTGAGCTCTTACCTGAGGGGTTCCCAGCCGCTCTATGAGAGGGACGAGGTGAAGAGGGGCGTACTTTGCTTCCAGTCTCTTCATACGGACTTCCAAGCGTTCCCCTTCTGTTTAGGCAAACAGTGGACAGAAAAAGAGAGCAAATAATGAACCTGGAGACACTATCCTGGTGAAATGTCTGGGGAGACATTTATAAATAATGGGCTTGGAAGTCAGATTTAAACTCTGATGATTAATTAGTGAGTTCCATTTATGTGTAAAAGATGAAAATCCTGAGTTATCTGCTTAGTTGGACTGAAATGGTAAAATTCTCTCTGCTTTTTCATTATTTCTCCCCATCCACACCCTGCTAGAAATCACTAACTCTTGAATAACAGTCTCAAGTCTGCTCATTTAAGGAAAACTGTCAAAAAAAGGCAAGTCCCTTTGAGAATTATTTATTAGAATCAGCTAGACTCAAGACTAGTCCCTTAGCTCAGCCTGTCATATCCCTCAGGATTTTCTTACCTTTAATGTAGACTCGAGGCAAAATGTTCTGGAATGGAGCAGCATGGAGTAAATCACAGACTTCCTCCTGAGACTGTGGAGAGGGGGTAGAAAGGAGAGGGAGGGAGAGTCAGTCATTTTAATCTAAGAATTCCAACGTCTCTGGTGCTCTGTGTGGTTGAGCATATGTGAGCACTGCTTTGCCTGAGGAATCTGAATGCAGGACTCCAAGGACCAACTGTGACGCTCAGCCACCGCCCTTGTTATCTGTTTATCCAGATTGGTTCTCCCACATGAAAGCAGCTCTCTAAACCAAGGCACTCAGGCCTTGGCACCAAGGCCACATGGGCCTCTTCAACAGTCTGGTGAAGCCTATGGACCCCTTTTCAGAATAATGCTTTTAAATGCATAAAATAAAATATATAGGATTACAAGGAAATCAATTTTGTTGAAAATATAGGGAGCCCTAAAAGTCTTAGTCAGCTTTTTAAGCTTTAGTAGCTCAAAACTGCACTAAGACTTTTGGAAAGCCCTTTACAGTTTTAAAAATGTTAAAAAAAAAAAAAAAAAAAACAAACAAACCCAACACATTTCACAGATCCCAGGTCAAGAACCCCTGCTCCAGTCTATCCACAAGCATTCATTAAATACAATGTGCCAGGTACTGTACAAGATGCTAGGGACATATGAAACAACCCCCTTTCACAAGAAGTTTATATTCTAAGCAGTGAATTGAAGAGGAATATGGATCTGGCCAGTGGCTTTTGGGGCAACACATCTTGGCTTTGGTCCCTTCTGGGAAAGGAGAATTGTCTGAGAAGCCAATGAGATTGACCACAGTTTCTGGACATGTTAACTAGTAGAGAATATTGTACATTCTTCTAGCCCAGCTATCTGAACAAATCAGACAAGGAAAGGAGCATATGTCATGATATGCAGGACTGACCTTTTTCAAAGTACACAAAGTTGTTTTTTTTTTCTTTCAAGATATCCTACATAAAACAAGCTGGAAGGAGGCTTAGGGGTCATCTAGTCTAAACTGAGGTCCAGAGAAGAGAAATGGCCACCACTGGGGTCATATAGCAAGTTAGTAAGAGAGTGAAGGCTAGAAATTCAGGTCTTTTCCCTCATAATACCATGCTATTTCGGTTAGGCCACACTGCTTCTCCCTTCTTCATGCCCCCATTCCCAGTACCCAGTACCGATATGCCAGTGCCATGCTGTGTACAGTCCTTTCCTGTGATTCTCCACCAAGATCTTACCTCCTCAATGGGAACCCCATGCTTGAGAACCTCCCTTCCTTCCTCTTTCCTCCACTTTATCAGAATTTACCCTTCCCGTGTCTTATCTCTTTAGGATGTGGTTCCATTGAAGGTAACAGCCCAGTTAGTCTGTAAGCATTAATTCTAGTAGCACAAGGGAAGGCTAGTGCCTTTATTTTGTTCCACATTCATTCCTTCTCAGCATAATCCCTCCCAGGTGATATACTTTAATGAGGGTGTTCTAAAGCCACATGCCAAAGGATCCAATAGAGTCTAATCAACATTTACTATCTACTTATGTGCAAAGCACTGTGTTAGGCACGAGGGATGATACAAAGACAAAATTGAAATAATCTCTATCTTTACATTCTACTTGGTTATTGTTTAGTATTTTTTCAGTCATGTCTGACTCTCCATGACCCCTTTTGGAGTTTTCTTGGCAAAGATAATAGAATGATTTGTCATTTCCTTCTCCAGCTCATTTTACAGATGAGGAAACTGAAGTAAATAGGGTTAAGTGACTTTCCCGGGGTCACTCAGCTTCTAAGTATCTGAGGCCAGATTTAAACATAGGTCTTACTAACTCCAGGCCCAGTGCTCTATCCACTGAACCATCTAGCTGTCCCTTTATGGTTCTCCTAGGGGCATGCAATCTGTTCAAAAATAAGGAAATAGAAGATGGTTTAAGAAGAAAAAAAGGATTAGCAACAAGGATGGGGTAAGATGTCAGAAAAGACTTCAGAGAAAGGAGATAGAGCATTAAATTTAACTGAAATGGTATGTACATGAAAGAGAATAATATATCTCTGAAAAGGTGGGTGGAAGCCAGACTATGAAAGACTAAATGCTAGACTGAAGAGTTAGTATTTTATATTCAAGACAACAGAGAAACACTAAAGATTTTGAGCAAGGGAGTGGTACAGTCTCACTTATTCTAGGAATATTAATGTGGCAGTTGTGTGTAGGATTAATCAGAGGGAGGAGAGGCTAGAACAGGAAAAACAATTAGGAAGTTATTGCCAAATTCCAGGCAAAAGGTGATGTGGACCTGAACAAGAGTAATGATAGTACGAGTGAAAATAGGAGGATGAATGTCAGAGATGTTGTGAAGGTAGAATTAACAAGTGGGTGTAAGAAGTAGGGTGGAGAGAGAAGAGTCAAGGATGGTGCCAAGGTTGAGAACCTAGCGTCTGGAAGGAGGGGAGTGGTCTTCACAGAAACAGAGGAAATTGGAAGAGGAGTTAGTTTATCAGGGCAAATAATTAGTTCTACTTGGAACATGTTGATTTTTAAATACTAAAGAGGCATCCAGGTAGAAGTATTCAGAAGGCAGTTGATGCCAGTTTAGGAGAGATCAGGGTTGTATATATAGATTTAAGAGCCATCTGTATAGAAATGATAACTGAACTTATGGTGAAAGAACAAGAAAGACATAGAAAAAGAAGAGAAAGCCAAGGATAGAGTCTTGGGATATTAACCATCTGGACATTTCCAACTGTATGTATCACAAGCAGCTTGACCTCAACAGGTCCAAAACAGAACTCATCACCCTCCTCTCACCCTCCCCTTTCCTGGACTTCCCTGTTACTTTTGAGGGCACCACTATCCCTCCAGTCACCCAGATTTGCAAGCTTGGCTTCGTTTTTTTTGACTCCTCACTCTTACTCACCAACTGCTGCCAAATCTTATTATTTCTACACCGGCATCTCCCTATGTATTCTTAGCAGCTCTTTCCTGGAATGTTGCAATAGTCCTTTAATTGGTTGCCTTTCCTCAAGTATCTGTCTACTCTAATACATTTTCTACCCAGCTTCCAAAGTGATTTTCCTAAAACATGGGTTTGACCATGTCAGCTCCCATACTCACCTATGACACTACCCCTTCCCCCCTTCACCATCCCCTTCTATGCAATAAACTTCTTTTGCACTTAAACCTACCTTTCCAGCTTCATTCCACATTCCTGGCCTTTATACACACACTATAGTCTAGCCAAAATGGCCTCTACCCCATTTATAGCATTCTTTTTCTCATCTCTGCCATTTCACTGACTGTCCCACCATACCTAGAACAGTCTCCCTCCTCACTTTTATCTCTTAGAATATAAACTCCTGGAGATTAGGGATTGTTTTATTATCTACATATGTATCCTCACCTGTGCCCCACATGTAGTAGGTGCTTTATAAATGCTTGTTGATTGCTGGCTTTCTTTAAAATTTTCTTCAAAACTCAGCCCAAATCTCATCTTCTTTAGGAGTTCTTTCCCTGTTCTTCCAGATGCAAGTATCTTCCCCTCTAAGATTACTATTCTATATATATATATATATATATGGGTACCTATTTATATATATATTTTGTCTCTTCCATTAAGATGTAAGTTCCTTGAGGGCAGGGACTATTTGTTTTTTCTTTGTATACATTACAAGTATTCAATAAAGTCTTGTTGATGGATGGATTGATTAGTTGAGAAGTAAGAGGGAGGTGAGAGAATGAGGGATTGAACTAAATGGTCTTTTCCAGTAGACTGACTGTGAAAATGAGAAGATATGCAGGACAATTGATTAAAGAGATGGCAGGGCTGAGTGAATGCGGTTGTTGTTTTTTTTTTTTTTTTGAAGTACAGACAGATCTGGACATAAATTAAGAAGAAATTGAAGAAGAGGGAAACAGAAGGAATGATAGGAAGGACACTCTCTCAGAGGAGATGGGAGTCAATAGATCAAAGGCACAAGGAAAAGGCTTAACCTTGGCAAAGAGAAGAGGCATCCTTTTCATGGAGAGGAGAACACAATCAATCTATTATTTTGCCTGGTTTGATGGATACAGAGAAATGCAAAAACAGTCTCTGCCCTCAAGGAGCTTACATTCTAATGAGCGATGCAAACAACTCTGCACATACAAGAGATATACAGTATAAACGGGAAGTAATCTCATAGGGAAGGCATTAGTAATAAACAGGACTGAGAAAGACCTCCTGGAAAAAGTGGGATTTGGGCTTCATCTTGAAGGAAACCAGAGAAACCAGGAGGTAGAGGTAAGGAGGAAGAGAACCCCAGGCATGAGGGGCAGCCAGTGAATAGGCAGGAGTCAAGAGATGGAGTGTCATTTTAGAGGAATGGCAAGAAGGAAGGCTAAGTACATGGAGGGGAATAAAGTAGAAGACTGAACAGGCAGGAAGACATCAGGCTGTGAAGGGCTTTAAAAGCGAAACAGAAGAGTTTACAGTTGAGCCTGGAGGCAATAGGGAACCATTGGAGTTTACTGAGTTTGTGTGCCTGTGAGTATGGGAGACTTTGGAGGCTGAGCGGGTGATTTTGGCAGCTCACTTTGGCAGTTAAGTGGAGGATCACGAGTGGGGAGAAGAGGTTAGGTTTGGGGGAATTATTAGAGGGAGAGGAGAGAAAGGGAGAGCTCAAGGCACAAGACTTTGACTTTCCTCAGTAAAGTGGAAGGTGAAGTGGTCTGCTGAGGGTGAGAGAGAGAAAAGTGAGTAATTTAGGAATTCTTTCCCTGTAAGTAAGTAAAGTAAATAAGTAAGTAAAAAGTGAAAAGTAATTCTCTAAGAAGAGAATGTTTGGAATAGCCAATGTGAGCAATATGATAGAGAGCTAATCATACAAACCATCATGTGTAACTAGGGATCTTAAATTCCACATGACCAGATCAGAACTCATCTTTTTCCCCAGACCCATTCCTCTTTTGAACTTCTTTATTACTATCTAGGGTACCACTACATCCCTCTAGTCACCTAAGTTCTTAACATCAGCGTCCTCCTCCACTCCCCACTCTCTCTCATTTTGGTTGCTGTTCAGTCATTTCATTTGTGTCCGACTCT